CGATCTTCATACTCATGAGATCAAACTACTCCATGGGACAAGTTTTCAGAAAATTTGGAGGCCCAAAATATTTCGCGTTGGCGCCTGTGGCGCGGGCGGCAGGTATTAGGTTGTCCGGAAAGTGCTCAGCGTTTTGAATGTTTCACTTTAAACGATCATAACTTTCTTAATACTCATCGGATTCAATCGAAATAAGCACCGTTCGAATCAGCACACTTTTGCCAATGTGACACCAGTCGACAAATCCCATCAAAGGAAAAACTGGGTGGTCGAGAATCCACGAAATCCACGAAGGCTTTTTTGCCTGGTCCTGATTGATGAAGTATTTTCCAGCAAGGAAGTTCTGAAAAGTGATAGTCGGTTGGTGAAAGGTCTGGAGAATATGTGAGGAACTTCAACCCCCAATTCGTTCAATTTATGGATAGTGATTTGTGAAACGTGTGGGCGGGCGTTGTCATGCAAAAGAATCGGACCCTTTCTGTTGACAAGTGCTGGCTGCAGCTGACGCAATTTTCGGTACATTTCGTCGATTTCTTCACAGTAGGACTCTGCTGTGATGGTTTGGCCTGGTGACAAAAAGTTATAGTGGATCACACCAGCCGATGACCACCACACTGTGACCATAATCTTTTTTTCGTGAGGATTCGGCTTTGGAAATTGCCTCGGTGGTTCGTCGGCATCCAACCACTGTCCGGAACGTCTCCTGTTATCATACATGATCCACTTTTCATCACAGGTGACAATTCGGTCCAAAAACGGGTCGTTTGTTGCGCAAAAGCAGTGAAGAAGAAACCTCGAGACGTGCCAAATTCCTGCCGGTCACTCAAATTGTGGGGCACCCACTTGTCGAGTTTTTTCACCTTCCCAATGCGTTTCAGACCATCCGCAACAGTGGATTTGCCAACGCCTAGCTTTTCTGCAATCTCTCGAACTGTTGGGTCAGCCTCCACAAACGCCTTCAAATCCTCGTCAGGTATTGCTTTAGGTCGACCGCTACGAGGTTCATCTTCAAGGCTGAAATCTCCAGAACGAAATTTGTCGAACCATTGTCGCACGGTGCTTTCTCCAACACTATTGGGCCCCCACACCTGGTTAATTTGTCGAGCTGTCTCGACTGCGGATTGACCCAATTTGTAGTTGAAGAAAAATATCGTCCGAAGTTGCTCTTTTGACATGCTTCAAAAAGTCTTGGGAAAAGGGGGTTTATCAAGCAATGGTGAAACGGCAATTATACCATCAGATAGCGCAAAAAATTCTCTTCAGGATGTACTACTGAGACGCAAGGGAGAATGAGTTTTCAATATGAATGTACAAAAAATAGTAACACAAAACGCTGGGAACTTTCCGGACAACCTACTAGTTTCAGGCCGAGTGGATGCGACACTTGTGTTCAAGAGGTCAAACTATTCCTGGAAACAAATTTTCAGTCAAATCTGCCCACGCAGAAAAAAGTAGAAACCGGCTTGGTTTCGGAATACTTCGATATGTAGTGGCAGAGCTTTTGATGAATTTATAACATCAATTTTAGTTGTTGGAGCAATACCTTTATAATTAGCACCATTTTCAGCCGCTGGCCGTCTACCTTGATTGGGGCATCGGGTCCCATTTCTTCTTCAACGTTTTCCTGACGACTTTTGTTTGGCTTCTTGGTATTGTACACGCATGGATCATGGTCATCACTTTCGCTGTTTTGAGGTGCAAAAAACATATAACGCTACTGATGATCGACGAGCCTATAGTGAATCCTATGTGAGTTGTGCTTACATTCTGAAGTAGAAATAAGTTCAGGGTTTTTTTTGTTTTGATATCCGGAATTGTATTGTAGCTGTGACGATTAACCGTAGAATTTGCTTAGGACTAGAGCACTTTTGCAGATCGATTTTCTACAAAATATAAAAGCAAAAGCAATTACCACGAAACTGAGTTCCAGGATTTCTAAGCGGTTTTGGGAATTACAAAGGAGGATGAGAAAAAAGGAGACTTTGAAAGTAACGCCTTTTGCAGCTCCAGTGCATTGCATATCATTTGAAACTTTGAGTACTCGCGGGCAGAAAAGTTAGAAACGCATTTGATAAGCTGCACACTGGAAACGATTCGAAATTCGGACATGAATGGGCTCCACTCATAGCACGTACCGAGCGATACATATTTTTCTGAGCAATGGCATTGCGTGCTAGCACCGATCGGATAGAGGAGTGATTAGCAGGTTGAGCTCTCATTGTCAGTGAGTACGATGAACCTAAAGTCTATGAATGAGGGGTCCCGGGCGATTCTATCGTCGGCATGTCAGGTCACGCCGCACACGGTGTGAGTTTGAATTATCAGCGGCTTCACATCGAACGGCTAGGTGAGCTGAAGTCACCAACGGGGAATGAGTTCAGCTGTATTCTAGATGTCTCGCCTGAGGAGGAGTGTTCTAAAGTCTGAAATAATACACGGAAGTAATTCGCTTCACCTCTCACTTTTTGAGCTCTGACGAAGGCGATAACGCCGGAACTTAAGCCAAATAAAATCGTTTTCACATGTTGGTTTGCTATAATGGTATTTCTGAGAAACCTCTCAGGAAGAAAGGATGAATGCATTTTGAGTGCTCCAGAAAACAATTTATGATTCTAGAGGACCAGGCATTGGAGAAGAAAAGGACGATACAGAAAATTTGGAAAATACAGTTGGAGAGCAGTCTTCGGTTGTAACGGCGGAATCGACGCTTTAATGGTTCTCTGTGATGGATGATAGTTTTCCAGAAAACATATTAGTCATATTTCCGTAGGCAGAGTAGATTGTGTTTTCATGCTGAAGAATATCTTAAATTAAAGATTTTCGTTAAAGAATGTCATTCGACATCTAAATTCCTTCGCTTATAAGCTTTGATTGAAAAGTTTCGCATATGAGAAAAAAAAGTTTGCTTTCACCTATTTTTCCTACCAAATTCATTGCAAATTTGTAGGCAAACTGCACGGTTTGCATAGCTATCGGAGAAGTGGATCTTTTCCATGCGCCGGCTACCCAACAGCAGAAGTGCGTTTCCGCTGGTGCTGTTAAGAACGAGGAGGCAAAGGAGTGAAAGGAGGACATTTTGCACTTCGGTCTCACATCCCTGATACGCTGAAAGCGCGACGGCGTACTCCATCTGAACATGGTGTAAAACGGATAATTAGTGGCATATTTTGATTGGAGACGAAGGCATGTCTCGTGTTGAGGAGAAGGCTATAAAGGAGACGCTACCACGACAGGCTACAGTGTAGTTTGCTGCGGACGGTGGGGCTTGTCAGGCGGGATGAGTTTGGCGCGGTGCCAAACCCGTTCTCCACCAGTTGTAAAGCGAGCAAGTGATAAGACTGTATCATGTCGTTCGTATCACTCGTTTTCTAACAGCTGTTGTTGCGTACCTGCTTCAGCAGCTGGAAAACGAGTTTTTCACCGTGGTACACTCATACTGCTTGACACGCCTGACCGTCCGAAGCGAACCACACTATAGTTGCGTCCTTCGAGTGGCTGGGGCCTTTCCCATCAACATCTGTGGTTCGCGCGCCCCCTAGGCGATATCGGGGAGGTGCCCCGGGTACGTAAGGTCTCAAGCAGTTCTCTACTCTTCCTACGTTCTGTCTCGAAATGAGTCCTAGTTTTCATCGACTCACCTTGTCAACGCACGTGCGACTATCAGAAGACCGCGCTGATGCGGCGATCACCTCTTCCTGCAGGACCGCTTATTGTAGAGTATCAATTGTTTTACCGTTGTAATTTCTGCAGATGAAGTTTGATAATCACTCCGTTTTCAACGCTTATGGTTGGTGACATGTAGTCGCAAATCGCGCACGAAGCATCTAGTAGTCCACGGCCTTACACTGCGTCAGACAAGCATACAATAATAGTTGTCTCAGATTGGGAATATTCCATCAAAAGTACTGTCGCCTTAAAAATAAAGCACGTAGCCACGCCTACCGCATTCCAGGGATGAGTAGTACGAAATGAGCCACTTAAGTTGGAGGAATTTACGGTCTTCCTAAGGTCCGCCTCTCCAAGCTCCGTCGAATATCACTACCAACACGCTTGATGCATGCACCAAGAAAAACCGCCATCGAAGAGTGCGTGATTAAGCAATAGCAACAGAATAGCAATATTCTTGTGACGACTCCGTGCTTCCCATGCCTCACAATGAGCCCGTCATTGAACATAGCGCGCATCATAGTCACAGCATACCTCATGCGGCCACCCATATGTGTGATAATAACCATACGGTACTTACATGGTCGCATATCCCATGTAATCACAAAAACTGAGCTCCGCTGCCGGGCTCTTCCAAATGTGGGGAGTGTTCGTAAATGGACTATTGCGGAACTGCGGCCAGCTCGCACATCGAAAAGAACAGGCGATCGTATGGTGTGCACTAGGTCATACAGTTTGTACCATTCCAGTCACCCGGGACGGAAAGGAGGGTGGGATGATTAGGCTTAGGCTGCTTTGCTCTACCAATGGCGATCGGGTGTGGACGACTTACGACGAAAACAACCAGTGATGGTAACGCCACTTTTAAGGGCTGCTGATTGCGTCCCGACTGATTGCGGTGATATCAAGTGTACGGCGTCCCGATCACAACGGCGACCATTTCGACTGTGGCACCAGACCTATTTTCCTGCTTGTGGGGCTTGCATGAATGGGGTGAACGCCTTGACCAATTCGGAAGGCACTAGTGAGGGAATGCCAATATTCTTTGAAACCTTTTAGAACTGCTAACCTTCATACAATGGAAACTTAGTGTTGCTATTTTAGACTACACGTCGCTCTGTCTGCGTTTATGTACACAAAATTCCATCTGTTATCAGTGTTTGTGATAGTAAAGATGACAGGGAAGTTGTTTGAATTAAATCAGTTCTCAATGAAGATGTGGTGGGTATGGGGTGATGAGATACAGCTCTCTATATCATAATTTTATTGTTGACATAACAAAGGTTATAACTAAATAAAAGGTTATAGTTTCCTATGACAACTTGTGAATCAACATTATACGATGAAATTACAGCGACTGCGTAATTTCCAGAAATAATTTTCAAGCTACCACAAACCAATCGTAGAGAAAACATCCTAACATATCTAATTCGCTAAGTATGTCTGTGTGTGTGTGTGTGCGTCTGTCCGTCTGTTTGTCACGAAATTCATAGCGCCGGTCCCAGTAGCAGTGAGACATTGATTTCAAGAAGTGATGTAGGGGTGTGACGGGAACACTACGGTGGGTGACAGGAAGTGATATCAGTTGATAAGATCCGATAAGAGGCGTTAGAAGAGGGCGGTTACCATGTCCATAACGCGGATGATAGCACCAGTTGGGTGTTGATACCAAGCTAATACAGGGTATGGGACAGGAACATTATTGGAAGGTGACAGGAAGTGATATTGATTGATAAGATTCGATAAGAGGCGTGAGAAGGAGAAGTTACTATATTCATAACGCGGGTGACAGCATCAGCTAGCTCTTGATTCCAAGATATGATATGGGTATGGGCTAAACATTATTAGTGGGTGACAAGAACTGTAAGCTGCTGATAAGATTTGATAAGGACGTCAGAAAGGTGAGGTTATCGTATTCACAGCGCAGGTCACAGCATCAGCAAGGCATACCAGCAAGTGATATAGAGGTGAGATGGGGACATCAACCGTGGGTGACTGGAAGCGATAACTACTGATAGGGGCTGATAAGAGACGCTGCAGTGGTCGTTGGTGTTAGGTGGTTCACGCTACCAAATCATAGAGGTTTAGTGATGATAACACCGATGACGGGTGACATCTTATCAATCGATAAAAACAGATAAGATACCATCTGCGCTACATTTTTATCACTTCTTACCGCTTTAATGCCGAGTATTAGAGGCTCAGTGTGTGAACCCTTTCCTTTGATGGCAATAGAATTTTTTTTCCAAGCTCATGAGAACCTAGGTTCTTAGACGGAACTGTGAGCAGTGTAAGTCTCCCGAGAGGTCAGGTCACGTGAATCCGCAAGCGGTATACCGCATCGTGAGAACGGTAAAAAGGATTACTCATGGAACAATTGGTAGACCGCTTACAGGTTCCAATTTCATGCTGAAGGTGGGCCTCGGCATGACTTGACCTACTACGACGCCCCTAGCGGAAGATTGCGAACGACGTTTAAGAAGCCTTGCTGAGTCGCTTTCACCGTACTCTACGCTGAGAAATGCGCAAGACAGCGCCTGCCTCGTGCCCCGGTGACTTTCCCTACTAGGAACATTCACCGTGTGTGATTAGTGGAATTCTTGTGTACAATGCCTCTAATGTGCCAATTCTTTAATGTGCCAAGAGAGAAGACACATCAATAGAAAGAGAGTGAGATGGGGAGGCTGAAAGCGATAACAACTGATAGGGGCTTGATAAGAGACGTTCAGTCGTCGTCGCTGTTCAAGGCGGTGCAGCTTTAACATTACCAAATTATAAGGATTTAGTGATAAGGACATTGATGACGGGTGGCAGGTAATCATATCATTCGATAAGAATGGATAAGATACATCTGCGCTACTTTCGGACCCTCTTCTAGGTCTCTAGATCGTTAACGTATTCTACACGACTCGCATTTACTAGTTGCTAGAAGTTGGTTGTCCATTTGGGATGAAAACAACCAATTTCAAAGAACGCCATTCCTGGGACCCGACTGGCTGCGATGATATCGACTGTATGCATTTCCTCCTCGTATTGCACAAAAATTTCGAAATGCATTGTTTGCGAAAATGCATTCAAAGATTCTTAGTGTAGCGCTACTGTGCTGATAAACAATGCTATCAGAGTCAGTATTAGAGAGTCGCTTAACGTTATCTAATAGAATAACTAATAAAAAAGCGCAGTTCAAAATACGTGACATATCATACCACGATTCGAGAAGTGGAAGCCTTTCAAGGAACGGTCAACGTTCTCGACCAGGTCACGCGTAGATTAATTAAGGTGTTGTTTTCTTGATTATTTTCTGCAGCGCATTTGTGTAGTAAAATTGATAGGGGGGTTGTAAATTCCTCAAAGAAAATGGCTCGCAACATAATTTCGCCTTCTTGCTATCCTTCGGCATTAGCTTAATTGTGTGACATCATATCCAACTTACCTATGTTACATACAGTATTCGTATCTGGAAAATTTCCACTCTTTTTCGAATTAATTTCCTATTTGTTATTCTATTACACTCTTACTCCTAACCTCTACCTCTGGTTGTCGGTAGTTGCCGTTGGAAGCAGGGTTTTAACATCTGCATGGGAGAAAGGGCCTGTTGAACCACCTTCCCCCCACCAAATTAATTTCTCGGGCACGACCCTGCGCCCTCCCCCC